TTTTTTGCTGCTGATAACTGCCACCCGTTGCCGCGAACAAGGGGCCAAGAATTGAAATATATGAAGAAAAAAAAAAAAGTGAAGGAAAGACACAGACACACAAAAAAAAGAAAAAAAAACAGCGAAGAAAAACCTTCTCTTCTGCCCTCCCTTTCCCCTTTTCACTCTTCAAAAACAGGATCTTAAAATTACGAAAAAAACAAAGAACACCAAAAAAAATCCACAAAAAAAACTTAAAAAAGGGACCCAAAAAAATCGAAATTCTGTACTTGTTCGTGTTGTACAGTTTAAAATGTTCTCGCCCTCGAAGCCTTAGCACCACTAGATGCAGAGTGACATTTTTGGGGGTTCAAAAAAAAAAAAAAAAAAAAAACAGAAGTCCTCCCTCCCAATTTATCGGCGAACCGTCCGGTCGACGTGTTTGTCAAGTCCTACCTAGGGCATCTTAAACTGGACGTATCTGGCTGCAATTGCGGACAGATACGTCGAGGGGAAAAGCCTAGTGTGATCAGGCCCTTCGTCTCAACGGCAAGCGACCTCACGCCTGGCCACAGGTAATCGGATTGCCACGTCAGCTCTGGCCACGAGCCCAAGTCATCTAAAACCCAAAAAAAAAAAAAATCCGCGTCAGCTCCAGTTATGGCGACACGTGTTGCCACGTCAGCTCCGGCTATGGCGGCTATCCACCTCCAGCTGACAAGGATGACGTCATGTTGCTCACTGCCGTTTACACCCGAGTAGAAGGCCCAGTCATTGTCGCTGCATCTGGGCTGAAAATTGTTCCAAATACACTGCTACCAAACTTTTGGCTAAGATCAAGTGTAGTATCTGTTCTGATGAATTTAATATCTGATCCGTGGTCCAATAAAAAAAAAAAAAAAAAAAAAAAAAACACCTACAATGACAAGCGGCGAGGTCCCATTAGCAAAGAGGATCGGATCGAATGCCTGAATGTGGACGTGTTTTACTCAGAGATGCAGGAAAGCAGTTCAATCTCGATTTCCTGCACCTTTCGACAAACACGTCCAGGTTCAGGCATTCAATCCGATCCTCTTTGCTAGTGGGACCACGCCCCGGACGTTCTGTTCGAGTGACGACAGTACCGATGACGATGGAGGAGCTGGATCGGGAGGACAAATCGGCGCGGATGTTAATTAAAGGGACACTGGACCCGGTGTCCAGCAGATGAAGCTCCCCACCAATAGATGGAGCGCCCCCTGGGGTGATATTCTTTTTTTTTAACCCCTCTTCTTTTCTTAGGGCCTCGCCACATCACTGTTGAAAACAGGCCTGCGGCACACTGAGTGCCAACCAGGGGTGATAGTCCGCTTGATACCACTGATAGACCGAGGGAGGCGCGGTAGCAGCCAAGGGAACCCCGGGGGCCATGTCCCAGTTGTCGAGGTTTTGTTTTGGTTTGGAATGCACGGGGCTCCCCACAGTCCGGACACTCGGGACAACCCGTCTATACTTGTCAGCCTTCGTGTCGGCGTCGTGAATGCCATTGGCCGGGACGTAGCCAGCAACCCCGCCCTTAACACAAGAAAGAGAGAGAGAGAGAGAGAGACATGTTTGTGCTATTTTCATGCTCTGTTTGTGCTGTGTTCATGATATGTTAATGCGGAATGTTTATACTATGTTTGTGTTTTGTCCAGTGAGTGCGGATGCGTGGGTGGGTAAGTGGGCAGGCGGGTGACTGGGTGAGTGGCCGGGTGGATTGTGCTATAAAAGTGCTCACGTTGTTTTGTGCTATGTCAGTACTATGTCTATGTTTGCGCTCTGTTCGAGTGTTGTAGAAGGAAGAAAAAGAGAGGCAGGCCGTGAGGCAATCTCGGGCGATCAAGGATCTCTTTGCTCTAGGCCCTAGGACACCCTAAGCTCATCTAAAAACAGTGCTTTAGTAACATCCTTTGAACTTATGCAACTGGCAAGTGATGCTCGATTGTGGGGCAGGGGTCCGCCCTTCAAATCAGCAGGTGGTGTGGCAAATGCCAACGGACTGCTAGGCTCTGGGGTTGAGCAAATTGCGGTTATGTTCAAGCGTGGGGGAGGGGGGGCTCCGGCCCCCCTCCTCCACACCCGCTACTCCTCCATGTTGAATCGGGGGTCGGTGAGGTCGAACGGTTAGATGTAGAGTAAGACGGGACTGTGAGCGTGCCTTGTGGCGTTTGGCTAGTATGATAAGCCAGAAGGCATCTGGGAGTTACGGCAGAAGGTAGAACTTAGATCAATGACATAACAGGGGCGCTGACATGGCAGGTCCGGAGTCTGCTTGGAGGCACGCCGAAGTAGCAGCTGAAGGGCTGTGCAAGAGGCATGCTTACAAGCTGAGAACCGGGACACCAGCAAGCTTGGGTTTGCACTGGGTCTGGGACTTTTTTGGTGGAACTACACCTAGAACATGGTATGGGGCTGCTTCTATGATATGCGTTAGAACCAGAGTCGGGACCATACCGGAAATCTGTCCTGCAACCGGGTCCGGTAGTGGGACACTTTTTGCCAGGACTGCATCTAAAACTTGGCATGAAACAGGTTGTATGATGTGGGTTCGAACTGAAGGTCAAACCATAAATATTTCCATAAATTAAATAAAAGAAAACAATAATAAAAGAAAACAATCACCCCCTCTCCTCCCGTCCTTTCCTTTCCTTTCCTTCCTTTACCTCCTGTATTCGTTCACCCTTTCTCCCAAAGAGGAAGCACCGGACGTCGACCAGGACAACACACCGACGACCTGCATGTGCTGCAATAGGTCGCCCCCCCAAAGTCCCAAGCCAGACTCGAACCCGTGATTTATGACATGTGACCTGAAGACTCTACCATTTGAGCGATAATCGCAAATGGCCCCTGTGTGTGGTATGCCAGACTGGGGAGATCAACAAAACAGCCACGAGCAACAGCCATAAGCAACCCACGGAGTATCAACACCCTACATACAACAACATGGACAACCCGTGGGCGGTGCGCAGGCAGTGTCTATATAAGCTTACCATGCGTCAGCCCAAAGGGTGTGTGTCCAGCCGTGCGTCATTCTAACGCCCTGCCGGTATCCATGCACAATGCTGTAATTGAGTTTTGAAACCACAGCCTCATACCACAATGCGCATTTCCAACCGGTGCTCTAACCGTTGCTCTAACCGTTGAGCTACATCAACTGGACAAAGAAGAAAACTCACAAGTTTCTCCCCCCAAAAAAATGCACGTTGTTAGAGAATGCTTTTGGACACCTCCTGCCGAAAGTTGTTGAATCCCCAGCCTGCTACTCCAATGCTTGTCATACCCTAAGGCTGTTCGTCTTTTTCCATCTTGCATTTACAAATGCGTTCATTCTACAGTGGTGTGTGGCTAAAAGGGAGCAAACTGTCGAAGGGAGGCTGTCAAATTTATTATGACAACCGTCGATTTTTTTTGCCTTTCGACAGTGGTGTGGCAAGCCCCTTATCTCTTGAACAGGTCAAACAGTTCTTGAAAATTTCCACCGTTTCAAAAAACGTGTGGTGAGGCCCTACTAGCGGTTGTTTAGGCCTGATCCTAATCCTGAACAACCCGACCCTCAGCCTACCGGTACCCCGAAGCTTGTCGAGCCTCAAGCTACGGATAGGTACACGTGAAAAAAAAAAAAACCATACCGTTTATCTCAGTGCGCTAACGGGGGGAGGGGGGAGGGAGAGAGAGAGAGAAAAAAAAAGTTACTCTCTCTCTCTCTCTCTCTCTCTCTCTCTCTCTCTCTCTCTCTCTCTCTCTCTCTCTCTCTCTCTCTCTCGCGCGCGCGCGCGCGCGCATGAGCTTGCAAGAGAGAGAGAGAGAGGGAGGGAGCGTGCAAACTGAAAAATAGCCTTCATCATGAGTTAATGTATCCGACGATGCCCATTAGATGTATGCATTCAATAACAGTAACATCCTTCCTTGTGACTTAGTTTTCTTGACCTTGTCCGTCGGATGTATACATTCAAAACATCCTTCCTTGTGACTTAGTTTTCTTGACCTTGTCCGTCGGATGTATACATTCAAGCTCATAAGTACTTAAGCTTGTCCCTCGGATGTAAATGTATACATTTAAGCTCATAAGTAGCCATCATGAGCCGGTGTATCTAACCTTCACCATCAGATTTATACATTCGAAATTGGTGCTCGTTTCTTATTTTGTTTTTTTTTTTGTTTTGTTTAAAAAGAAGAATATCAATCGTTTATGTTGTGACTCCCTGTGAGAAGCAAGAACAATCGATTGCATTTCGACATCTTTCATTCATTTTTTTTATTTTATTTTTTCGTGCGTGAAAACAATAGTCAGCCAAATAAAATACATAATATATATATATATATGTATGTATATCAGTTTTTATACTTCAGTTCCTCTTAATGTCTACAACTCGTAACTTGGTCGTGGCAACTTATGGTGCGGCAAACCTTTATTTGTGTCTCCTTGAAAAATAAACACACAATTGAATCTACGCACTCAGAATGTGCCAAAATTTTTAAAGTAACACACAAAAAAACACAGAATCTGGGTACCCAACTTATAGGTCTACCCTAAAAAAACCCTAGAAAGACAAGCGACTGGATCATCCAAGTTATGGATAAGTCCAACCGGATAGCCCAACAAACATAAAAGAAATATAACACTGAGCTCATGCACTTGGAATGTGTCGAGCCTTTGGTTGACCCTGTCAAATAGAAGCAAAATCAATCCTTCGCCCCTTTTGCACCCTTCCCTATTTGTCCTCTCTTTTTTCATACTGATATCTGAATTTTTATTTGTACATTGTTCAATTTTAGATTAAATCCTGATATAGAATTTGATCCAATAATAATAATAAGTAGTAGTTCAATCATGCGTTGAACAACTATAAGGTAGTACAATTAAGGAAATACAGGATCACACTCGTATGCCGTATTTACGCTTGAGTGTTCCCTGCCTCCAGAAACCCACATGAACTCATGGTATACCCCACAGGGTCTTGCTGCTTTGTGAGTTGCAATCCTACCTTGCCACTTTCCTCTCTCATGGTATAGGAGTAATGGTTGGCCTCGATGGCTCGTGCAAGTAGTGATGGTAATTGTGGCAACAACCTAAATAACCACCTACTAAGAGCAACTATGCAGCACCACCCATAGAGTCAACTGAGGACTTTTAATCTATCAACTCCTTGCTATGTCTGGATCTGGTAAGTTTTGATGTATTAGGGATATTTATGTGGGTCGATTCATTCACATCGTACTAAATTGCACTCGGGGAGGACGAACAAGATCTCACGCACGAGAATCCGACCACGAGGAAAGTCGCCACGTTCTTGAAAAAAACACGCGTGGCCACAACGAAGACCAACTACAACCTCCGAGGAAACCGACTCCAAACAACAAAGAGGACAACTATAGTCTAAACTGCAGGTAATGATAATGAATGTGAATCTGACTCGGAGGTGGATAAACGCAAAAACGAGCGGGGCGAATACGAGCGTCAGCGGGGTGAGCACGAGCACGACACCACCCAAATGCGTGTGTGGCCAACAATCCCTAATGCTTTGTTGTTCCATCAAATGTGCAAACTGATAAATGAATCCATCGGTGGAACTTGGGCAGTTACACTGTCAGATTCCATCCTAGTATAATCCGCAGTTCAGCACCGCAGCCCGACTTTCTTGTTCGTTTGTACACTGTCAGTTCTTCAACGTAAGTACTCGTCCTCTCTCTCTCTCGTGTGCACATCCCCCGTGTCGCTCAGTAACAGTCTGCCTGTTGATTGTTCAAGTTGTTGCAACCATTACTGGCCAAATCTAAAATGAATCTTCTATTAGATCCCAATCAAATGCAGCCTCTCTCTTAAAACCACCACCACAAGGAGTTGCACCGATAGCTGGGCGACTACAACAAGACAATCAGGGATTGCAAACCATACAATGAAGGCGAGTACTACGATGACCCAAACAATCACGACGATGGCATGCGGGACTATGACCACGTTCCACCACTCACCAAATGTGCAAAATAAGAATGATTTTTCCCTTAGAACCAGGGAAGATGCACGCAGACTCGCGCGCCGGCTGTCCGTCCGCCTCTTCCGCTTTGACATGTAATCTGTATTTTTCAAATTCGGTCGCGATCTTGGTCAGGTACTGGTGCCACGATAGCTTGATGCAGACAACCGCAACACGCAGGATGATCTTGAGGACCACGAGTCAAAGGAGAGGAACACGACACGAAGACGAAGGTCGTGCAATGAAGAAGTAGACCAATAATGTCGAAGACGATGGCCATAATGAACAACACAACATGTAACATACCTCGATGTTGACCTCGGACGTCAAGGTGAAAGTGACGACCACGTGGATTGTGAAGATGGGCACCGGGCTGCAGATGTCGAGTGCCAAGGTGAGAGGGATGACCACCACGATTCTGACTGTCACCCTCTGGAAAAAAAAAAAAAAACAATGAATGAATCTTCCGCTAGAACATGGGAAGATACATTACTCTGCGCCAAGTAAGAATACTTGGTACTAACCCACTGACTCGTTCTCCTCCCACCTTTCTCTCTTCTCTGTTGATCACTAACCCATTGTCTAAAGCACCCGTAGACTCTAACTCGAGGGGTGGGACAACGTCCTATCCCAATCTTAGTCATCCTGATTCTGTTGTGAAACGTGCACATCACACCTGTTGTTCATGAGAGTTTGCGGTTGTGTATGCCCGCGTAATTTTTATTCTCAACTACCCGTTTTTTCTTCCTTCTTCATGACGCGATCTCTAACTCCCTTCCCCGCACTTCACTCTCCCCTGCTTTTGTATTGTCCTTTCTTCTGATCACTCTCTCTGTTTAATTCTCTCCCCCCCTTAGTGATCAACTTCCTCGTCTTCCTGTTGGCATCCGCTTGAACGCACCCTGCAACCTCACAAAGCTTTCCAACCCTACGCATTCACAAAAAGTGAAAAGTAAGTTCAACTCTCGATTTATATGTGTCATCCTTGTGTAGGGGTCGTGCTAATCTTCTCTATATCATTCCAATTTTAACGGATGTCCTGAAAGACTAGCCTCTGCCACGACCTGGGTCGAGCGGCATCACCGAGTCGAGCAGTTGTGACCGGCCTACCGAACCCTACGCATTCACAAAAAGTGAAAAGTAAGTTCAACTCTCGATTTATATGTGTCATCCTTGTGCCTGTCTCTTATACACATCTAGATGTGTATAAGAGACAGGAACCCTACGCATTCACAAAAAGTGAAAAGTAAGTTCAACTCTCGATTTATATGTGTCATCCTTGTGTAGGGGTCGTGCTAATCTTCTCTAGACAACATTTGCTTTGTGAACGGCCTACCGAACCGTGCCAATGCCACATCTTGGCCTATCGGCCAATCTTGCGGCCTCCAAATTCCCTCATTTGTGGCGATCCCCAACTACCAAGCACATCCCTTACTAAGCCTAAGCTATGCTGCCACTAATTTCGACCTCCACAAAGTGACCACTCTTCCAAAACTGCACCTTTACCAATTCGGCCGTCGATCTCACTACTTTGTTTTCAAGGGTTGGGAGGTGTCGGGGATAGGGCCCATTGAGGAAGTCTGGCAGGAGGCTTCACGGACCGGGTTCAACCTACCTGTCGTCATATCAGACTCACCCACACATAGGGATCACTCAAGATAGGACACATTACCTCGCTTCACACACTCCCGGGAGTATCACCCTAAACCAAAGCAACTAGGATGCCAACTCCAGGGCGCACCGCCCTTGAACTGAGGGTCCTGCATCCCTGAGGCCTCCAGCCGGAAGGCAAGATGCACCACAGTCACCAAATGCTACGGGGATGAGAGTCACTCCTACTAGGAAGGGGGCTCCAGCAACCCCAAGGGGAGCACATGCTCGACTATCACAAAGACCCAGGATGCATGGGCAAAGAGTCATCATCTAATGGGCACCCTAGCGGGTGAATCCCCAATTCAAACCGTTACAACACCCTATGCACATCCGTACCCCTGGGAGCATGTGCACTCAGTGCGTGAGTAGTAGTGCGTCAGTCTAATGCCCTGTCGGTGGGTTATGCACGAGGGTGCGGGGGTTTGAGCCCGCAACCTCATACCACAATGTACATTTCAACCGATGCCCTAACCACTAGGCCAGCCGCTACTCACAACTCTCAGCTTCTTACCTGTGTCGGACTGTATTAATTTACGCCTCGCCAAGGTCATAGTAGGCTTTCACCGAAAGGCAAAAAGTAATGCCCCACGCACTCTGCGCTATGCGGGTTCGCGCTCCTGTTTGAAGCAAGTCGACGAAAACAATTTGGGATGGTGACACCGACAGTTGGCCCAACCACGACGATGGCCATAACAATGCCTATCTCTACGCACGAGTGCATACAGTGTGCGCCACCACTCTACGAAATCACTGATCTTGCTGTCGATTCACAGAAACGCCAGGGGCCTGGATAATCAACGAGCACAACGAAGTGGACACCCACACACTCTTTGACCTAATCATAAGGTCATTCGCCACTTCAACTACTGGGAGTCGATCGCAAGCTGCACTAAAGTAAATGTGTCACTATCTCAATTGTCACCACATATGCGGTTTATGTAAAACGTAAAAACACGGACAACTACCCTTGTAAGGGTATTTGTGCCGACATCAAGACTTATCACTTTCCGGCAGAAAGCCATTGCTTTACCTTTGCGAACTTAGGATTTGTGATTGTGGATACAAAATTTCCCCTTGTCTCCATTATACTCCTCTAACTGATTATTGCTCCCCACTAGCCTCATACTTTGTGCTCGGATTGTCGTTGTAAAAAGTACATGAAAGAGGGAGGCTTTGACTACGTTCCACGTAGAGAGGCAGAGGTAGCTGAAAGAGTTGCAAGGTTGCGCTTCTTTGATTCTGACTCCGAACTCTATAATACACGTCGCAGAACACTCGTGCATAGTCAAGATCCTACGTATACCCCTACCACATTCCGCCCCAGTAAACGACGCAACTTGAAGAAGGTTTGAAAACTTGAACACCTCCACGAGCACTTTCTGAACTAGGGAGATGTTGTCCCTCCCACCATCTCGCCCTCGTCCTATCCATAACCGGAGCCGGCACCGGAGATTCTAGTTCTGACCTGGAACTCCGCACCCATCTTTTCCAGTAATCCTTGGCACACCCCAGTTCCATGTTTCCGAGTCCGGTCCTTTCCACATTTTTGTCCATCTCCAAAAGGGAAGCATCGCAGGACGTCTGGTTCAGCGTTACCGCCGCTTCCCTTCACTTGTTTGGTCTTACCCTCTCTCTTCCTCTGTACTCTGTGTACATTGACTTACCGTGAGGGCACGGGTGTGCAGCCCATAGTGTGTTTGTTGATGCCTCATGACGGCCTGTGAACGCTGGTGTGGTGAGTCTACCATAGTCCCAGAGGCATTTGCTGGACCTGTTTTTTAGCAGGCCTAGTCCCCCACCTATAGTTCGGAGCTATCCATAGTTGGTGAGTCTACTTTGGGAGGCCCGCAATCACACACACAAAGAGAGAGAGAGAGAGAGAGAGAGAGAGAGAGAGAGAGAGAGAGACTGAGTTACCTCTACCCCGTTTCGCGGTCGAGATCCCCTCTGCGAGCGTGGTCTCTGGAATTGCCTGACCTCCACTCGCGCCGAGCTACAACTATCACTTGTTCGTGTTTGTAGTCGTTGCCCATTCAGGATCGAAGTCGCTCCTTGCCATTGATGTCGTGATCGTAAAAGTGGCGCATGCATCTGGTCAGGGTGAGGGCCGGGTGCACTGAACTGAAAATACAGGGAAGAAGAAGAGAGACATTTAACTTACCGAGAGGGAACGGGTACGAAAGTGAGGCAACGAGTGCGCCCGCCGCTGCTTTGGCCCCGTTTCGATTTTTCGACCAAAACCCGTGTGGTCCCACGGGCAGCTACCAGTCCTGCAGTTTCAAATAAAATGCCACCACCCCCTAAACTGCCATGCCTTGTTTTTCCAGCCTTCCAACGACCGTATAACGAACGACGACGAAAAATGTTCTCAGGGGCATAAAACGCACCCCTGACGGGCCGCGAACTACGAGGGAACACCTACCAACCTTACCTCTCCCCAACCCAAGGAGTAGATGTGCACCATGTAGGGTTGGTATGAGAGCAAAGTTGTACCAACCCCTCACCACCGTGATGTGGGGATGGGCAGGAGTCGCCAGGGGTTGAAACCGGCAGTGCTAGTGCTCCTTATCACTGTGATATGGGGATGGGCAGGGGTCACAGGTGGGTGAAACTGGCAGTGCCACCTCATCAACGTGATATGGGGATGGGCCCTGTTCACCGGGCAGTGCTACCTTCTTCCTCCGGTCATTATAGTTGTATTTGGGGTATCTTTCAGTCTAAATACAGTTGTATTGACCGTATGTTGTACTGGGGGGAAGAAGGTAGTGTCGAGCACAATGGTCAGCCACTACCGTAGACCTCTCTCAGCCTACATCAGCAGTGTCTAATAAGCAATATCGTTGTTACATAGCATCCAACAATATGGGCCAAGGTTTTGTTTATGTTGGCTTGGGGGACCAGGGTGCTATTTGTATGGGGATTGGACCCACGACCTTCTGAATGTAACGTTCATGCCTTACCGACGACCCAGACCCATTTTCCTCTTTCCCTCTTCTGACGAAATAAAGGTCAACATCAACAAGGTCCAATGAACATGAACGATGGGATAGCCCTAAGGTTACGATTGTATGGTAGTCCCATGGTTAGCACAATTTAGCAGTACTGATTTTTTTGGTTGAGTTTTGCTTGAAATGTTTGGTTTTGGATTGTCGTCTCTGTTTGTTGTTTTTAGTTTTTTCAGTTGTTTTCTCGGCATGATTGTTGTGTGTTTTGCCTTTCGGCATTTTTGAATGTTTTAGCGGACAATTGCGACACCAACTGGGTTCGAACGGTCGCCAGTAACGGCTTATTTTTTTTGTCGCAGGGTGTTTGTTGACTACCGGTAACCCTGCGTTGCAGCATAGTGCTTTGGGATTTGAACCGTAGGCTTACCCTGTGATGGTACAGTGTGCATCGATTTTCGGAGCAGTACGTAGGAAACTAGTTGCTAGCAATCGTGTTTGATCCGTGAGAAAGGTCAGTAGGCTTGTGGTAGGGAACCCCCGACTGTTCTCCGGTTTGACCAGAGGCAAGGGCGGGGCGTGCCTTTTGTCGAACGGTGCGACTATCCTATAACTAGTGTGGTAGCAATACACTCGACCTCTTACGGTTCGTCCATTCCGTTTGCGGAGGTGGACGTAAGGGGTTGAAATGACTTGGCGGTCCTGGGGTTGAGGAATGTTCGGATCCTGGGGTTGAGGAATGTTCGGATCCTGGGGTTGAGGAATGTTCGGACGGATTACCGTAATTTTCGAGGTTTGCTTTTCGACACACTGCGTCTTGATTTGTCTCACTTGTGCTTATGAGTGTTGACTTGTTTTGGACTTGCTCTACGTCTTGTCGTATGAGTCCTATCCATGATACTATCTACTTCGTGTGTGAACGATCCTGGAGTCTTGTTACCGGGATAAGTGAGCACGTTTAACACACAATATTGATCAGGGGTACAGAAAGAGTGGGCGAGTTCAAGTGTCTTCGAGTACGTGAGGACAAAGCAGCGAGTCCGGGTGCAGTGCGCATGGTCGGGCAAGGGGAACATCGACACTTTGACAGCAGAGGGCGTGATCAAGGAAGGAGAAATCGGGACCACAGGAGCATGAATCGTGAGTATGGAGGCAACCAACGAGGCTATGGGAGTGCCCGAGGGTATGGAAGCGATAGGAGTCAAGGAGTAGATCAGAGCTATGGGGGTGATAGGAGTTATGACCAAGCACCAAGACATGGAACGGTCACCTGCTATAATTGAGGGGAGCCGGGACACTATTCTAATCAGTGCCCCCACCCACGCAGGACTCATGGTGTGGGTCCTTCGGCTCAAGTTGGTGGAGGGAGGAGTTCGGCATCAGTTGAACCGCTGCAATCCAAGGTAGCCGAGATTGGGAAGAGCGTCGCGGCGATTTGTCAGTACGTCGAGATCGAAGAGGCAAAGAACGCAGCAAAGGAACAAAGGAAGTTGGAGAAGAAAGAAGCGGCTGAACGAGCAGAAGCGGAGAGAGCGGAAGCAGAGTTGAAGAAAAAGAAGAGAGAAGAGAAGGCACGGAAGGTGGCAGAACAAAATGAGGAGATGCGGAAATGCTTGGACATAAAAATGGCAATCCGCGTGGAGGAGCTTCGCGAGGATGTGAGGGAGGACGTGAGACAGGAGATTCGGGACGCGATCAACGAGCTTTGTGTTGTTGTGGCACGTGGTAAGCAAGAAATCACTGAAGAGCCAGCGTCGGAGAGTGGCGCTAGCAGCAGCGAGACCGAGGAGCTTTGCTTGATAGAGAAGAGGAAGCACGGGCCCGAGCCAGTGTTTGAGGGTAGTCCACCGATGGAGCTACCACCCAAACGCACACCTAGACATGCGGCAAAATCTAGGCCAGCCGGGAGAGTGACGAGGTCGAGGAGTCGAGTGGCCAAGACTCCAACGCCTAAGAAGACACCGCCATCTATCCGAAAGAAGACACCCGCACCGTTGGGAATGGTAGGATGTCTGAGGTTTGAGAAGCGTGCGATGAATGAATAGAAGAATCTTGACGCGTTAGTACTACAAAGTATTTGCAAAGACGAAGGTATTGTGTACAATGGCAAATTTGAATCTGTTTTCGACATTGCATCGCACCGCACGAGAGTCGAATACGGGTCTGGTGAAGAGGAGGAAACTGAGACAACTCGGGAAACTAGCACAGAGGGCACCACTGAGGGAGAGGTGAAGCACGATATTGAGTGATGTGGCCTTAATATTGCTGACCCGTGGGGAATCGCGGGATGCCTGACGCAGCTGTGAACCTTGATTCATGGAGTTGACGCTAAGATCGAGGAACTTCTCCGACTGACGATTGTTACCTTGTCGTTATTCGGTGTGCTGCGATGGACGCGCAAATGTGTGAATGCCTGGATCCGTTTGTTTGAGACGTTCGGATATGAGTTTGTAAATATCTCGTCGAGTGTATACGTTGCCGTCTCTCCATATTGTAAGTCGCAATACGTTGGTAAGTCGTCAAGACACATGGACACCCGCTGGCGTGAGCATCTCTATGCATGTCGGAAACGGTCGCCTAATCATTTTTACCGTTGGCTTGGGATCTTTGGGGTAAAGAATTACGTTCTCATACCAGTAGATACTGTAGTTAACGATGACTTGATTAAGCTTGAAAACCTGTATATTCGACAATGGTCTCCATCATTGAATACAACAGGCGTTGCTAGAGGTGATGGTCGTAAAGGAAAAAAGCGGACACTGGGTAAGCATGAACGGGCTAGGAAGGGTAGACTAGTGCGTGATTGTTAGCGGGTCATTGCACCACTTCGCTTTAGAACGCAGGCATCAGATAACTGGCAGTTGAGCTTGTTTGAGATTCTTGACGGATACAAGAAGTCAGGAAAATGCGGATTTGCGATTGATGTTAGCGGAGGCAATACCTGGCAGTCACCATGGAAGAAGATTATAAAAAAGTTCGGATCTACTAAGGTCTCTCGTGGCCCTGAAACCCGACTACTTAGGGATTGTAAGACCTGGCTTGAGAAAGGGGGACGCCTTGTCATTGACTACGTTGTTGTATGGAAACCACGATGTGGTTACGTCAAGCGGTTTCTAGTTTCACTGCTGGGGAACCTAAGGGTAATTAGCAACGTATACAAATGAGATATGTGCTCGATTCTTCGTTTGTATAATGTCGTGAAGGATTTTTCAAAAAGTTCGACCAGAAAGTACCTACGCAGATTGATCTCACGAGTTTTCTTGGAAAAGTTTGACCTCAGCTTGAGTGCTGATTTGTTAATCAGGGTTAAGTTTGATGATAGGATTAGTATGTGTGAATTACGAAAGGTCATGAATGATGTGTTGCTAGAGTGTGAATTGCCTACCTGTTTCATGCGACGTGCACGTAAGAAAACTCGGATTGTTTGGCAAAAAAAACAGATAGTTGGTGAGTTGTTGCACAATCATCGGATGTTTGCAACCCGTTATGTGCTAACCTGTCAATGCGCAGGTCTACAGTATCCCCGTGTGGATGGGCACGTGCACGTTCGCTTACGGAAGGAGGTAGTTAATCACCCACTACTGGCGAACGCTAATAGCATCCCTAGAGAGCGTAAATCAGATCGGGTACGATCCCTAGGTCAACCTCTATTGTTTGGTTAGGATGTTACTGATCTCAAAAACCAATATGAGGGACTGGTCCTTACACCTCTTGATTGGAACCTGGGTGAGACCGTAGTAATGTGCCCGAAAAGTTACTACGAGGCTATGATGGATATGTTTGTACGGAGCTCCGGGCATACGATCATGTTATGTACTGAGACTGCCTTGCTTCGGGAAGTCCGCGAGGATATGAAATCGGTTGGATTGCATAAATTCATTCGGTGGGATAACAAAGGAAGGTTGGGATCAACTTATATCATCTCGACGCACAAGGACTTGACGCGGCATCGCCCCATTTGCCCCACCTTTGGTGAGCCTATCGTTCGCACGAGTAAGGTTGTTGCCAAGGGTCTCAATTTTCTCCTATCTAATCTACCGAGGGACTATCACTTCAATCTCCCTGCGATGTCACAGCTGACCACAACGATCACCCATTTGAACGCTAAATTTAGACGATTGGGGCGAGTGACGGACGTGACCGTACAATCCTTTGATATTAAGGACATGTTCAGCCGCCTCCCGCATGGGGACATTGTCAAGGCGGTCCACTGGTTGTTGTGCTTTCACCTAGATAAGAGTCGGGATTTTGTGGGGGTTAATATCAGAGGGAGAGGTGCCTCGTTTGGCGTGACAACAGGTGCTGATCACTGGAGGAGATTTGACTTTGAGGATATGTGGAAATATTTGAGGATTGATTTGCAGCATACGTATACCATTGCTACCAGTGTGTTGTTACGGCAGGATGTGGGGATTCCAATGGGAAAAAGTAACAGTCCCGCACTCACTTGCATTATGTGTGCATATGAGTATACGTTCTACCGCAGCCAGGGAGATATGGGCTTCAAGTGTACAGGATCAGACTAGTTGACGATGTTATTTTGATTACTGCATCCCTGTCGAATGAGACATTGGTGTTGGTTGGACAACTTTTTAGCGAGTTCTATCCTCGGAATTTGTGCTTGAAACGCACGGATAATGGGTCTGGAGTCTTGTACTTCCTAGGCTGTGAGGTGAGGTGCAAGCAGTCTTACCCATACCTTGGTTGTGCGCAGATGTCAAAAAACGAGGAGAGCGCATGGAGTAGCGGGTCACTGGAATTTCAAACAGGGCAATCTTTTCTTTCGTGGGGCAGTAAATAAAAGAAGAGTGTTGCAATCAGCAGTTACTTGCATCAGATCGATCAGAATACTTCCCTTCACAGTGAAATTCCCGGACGAGTGTTGTCACTCAAACGGGAACTCAAACTGAAAGATGTACCAAGGAGTTTTTTTGAACGCGTCCTACGACGATTCGCCTTTCGACGTGATATGTTTTGGAAGCAGAGCTTGGAGCTGGTTGGCGGTTCGGTGGCATGACTGGAGTATTAGCCGACCTTTGAGATACTCGGACAGGGCAGCCCATGGTTAGCACAATTTAGCAGTACTGATTTTTTTGGCCGAGTTTTGCTTGAAATGTTTGGTTTTGGACTGTCGTTTATGTTTTGTTGTTCTTAGTTTGTCCAGTTGTTTTCCCGGCATGATTGCTGCGTGTTCTGCCTTTCGGCATTTTTGAATGTTTTAGCGGACAATTGCGACACCATCTAGGTTCGAACCGTCGCCAATAATGGGTAATTTCTTTTGTCTCGGGGTGTTTGTTGACTACCGGTAACCCTGAGTTGCAGCATAGTGCTCTGGGATTCGAACCATAGGCGTACCCTGTGATGGTACTGTGTGCATCGATTTTCGGATCATTACGTAGGAAACTAGCTGCTAGCAGTCGTGTTTGATCCGTGAGAAAGATCAGTAGGCTTGCGGTAGTGAAACCCCGACTGTTCTCCGGTTTGACCAGGAGCAAGGGCGGGGTGCACCTTTTGTCGGACGGTGCGACTATCCTATAACTAGTGTGGTAGCAATACACTCGACCTCTTACGGTTCGTCCACTCCGTTTGCGGAGGCGGGCGTAGGGTCTTGAAATGACTCGGCGGTCCTGGGGTTGATGAATGTTCAGATCCTGGGGTTGAGGAATGTTCGGACGGATTACCCTAATTTTCGAGGTTTGCTTTTGGACACACTACGTCTTGATTTGTCTCACTTGTGCTTATG